TTAAGATGCTCTTTCCTGGAACCTGGAGGGACCGGCACCTCACCTTCAGGCCTCTAGACCTTTGACTGACACTGTTTGTGCCTGCCCAGGTCCCTGTCTGCACCGCTGCAGTGCCCTGGGCCCCATGTCCACCGCTGTCCTGCCCTTCTTCTCTGGGTGAGGACTGGCCTGCCTCTACCTGGCTGCATCCTTGGTCGATCTCAAGTGCCTTGGCATGAACTCCACTCTCCTGAGCCTTCAGTCAGGGGATGATGGGGGATGTGTACATGCCCCACCCCACCCCTCAGCAGGGTAATGCTGAGGAGGTGTGGGTTTTTAACAGTTCCTGGCTTTCCCAGGAGGCTTGGGTTTGGATGCCCACAGTGGGAGCTGGTGTGATATCACACCTTCGCGGACTGCCTTTCCTTCCTGGTCTCACTCTCGGCCCCTACTTCCCACTCTAGAGCTTCCCCGTTTCTGTGTTTTTTTTTAAAAGAGCTGACCCTGTGCTGTCTCCCACTCTCCCAGTGCCCCTGCCACTCCTGTGAACTAGCTGCTGGTGAGGTTGGCGCTGACCTCTGTGTCTGACCTCAGGCCTCATAACATCAGCCAGCGGCATCTGACCTCCCTCTAGGATACGGGGTTTCTTTGGATGTTTGGAGCCCGTACTCACCCCCTTCCTCACCTCCCAGCCACTCTTCTTGTCTCTTGCCGTTTGCTCTCCACTTTAGGACCCAGAGCTTGGCCCTCAGCCCTCTCTCCTCTCGTCACTCCTTTAGCGAATTTAGCGACTGGTCCAGTCTCAAGGCTGTGGCTTCCTTCTAAACACTGACAACTCCAAATTCTTTATCTCTACCGCAAACAGACCACCGAACTCCAAATCTCAGCATCTTTGCTTGAACATCTCAGACTTAACATTTCCAAAACTGAAGTGGTGATGCTCCCTCCCAGCCTGACTCCCCTGAGATGGGAAAGAAGGCAATGGCAGCTCCCTCTTTCCAGCCGCTCCAACAGAAACCTTGCGGTCACCCACCCTCCTCTGCCCCACCAGGATTAGGCTTTCTCAGTTGGCCTCCTTGCTCCCACCCTTGCTTCCCTGAAGCCTCTTCTAACTGTAGGCGAGTTCTGATGCTTTTCTGCTCAGGACCCTCCTCTGGTTCCCCTGTTGCTCAGAATCGACTCTGCTGCGGTCCCCAGGGCCCCCTGTCTAGCCTCTCCTCCTGGGATGCTCTTGCTGCCTGATGTCACACTGCCCACCTTTGAAAGATACTCTTCCTAGACCTCTTGTGTTCCTGCATGACTGGGCCTTCTCAGCAAGGGACACGGACCAGCTTTGCAAGGACGATGGAACAGCAAAGGGAAGACAGAGCATGCCCAGGACAGAAACCTTCATCCTAGGATGTTTTACCCCAGGGATCTCTGGAGGAGAGAAAAGGCGGGTCCTCCACAGCCCTGAGAAAATCTCCAAGTCTCCCAGTTTCAGGTCCCTCTGCTGGGATACAAGCCCACTGCCTGTCCAGGTGGCACGGTCCACATCCCCCCTTCTTGGGAATAGGGGCATGGGAAACTGACTAAAGATACTGTTCTGGCTGCTGTGTTTACTGTGAGTAATAAACTGTCTATTTCTCTGATTCAGAGGTCTGTTTGTTTCCCCCTCCCCTCCAGGATGGAGACTTGCTCTGTCACCCAGTCTGGAGTGCAGTGGCGCCATCTCAGCTCACTGCAATCTCCACCTCCTGGGTTCAAGCGATTCTTTTGCCTCAACTTCCCGGGTAGCTGAGACTACAGGCACACACCACCACGCCCAGATAATTTTTGTGTTTTTCAGTAGAGACGGGGTTTCACCATGTTGGCCAGGCTAGTCTCGAACTCCTGACCTCATGATCCACCTGCCTCTGCCTCCCAAAATGCTGGGATTACAGTGGTGAGCCACCGCGCCCAGTCTCGGTCTGATGTTTTATACACGTGCATGTGACATGCAGCTATGCAGGCCCCCTTGTCAGCATGCAGGGAGGGGCCAATCTCTGAGCCTTCTTGATTTTTGACTTCACACCCAGTACCCTCCCTCCTGGCCTAGCATGGCAAGCACAGTTTCCACTCAGCCATTTGCCCTGGTTATTCTCTCTAACTTGGATACTTTTCTCCTAGATTCTGCTTGTAATGTATTTGAACATTTACCTCTTAATATTGTTTCCTATCCGTCTCTGCTGACCAGAAGATAAGCTGCATGAGGGCAGGAGTTTTTGTTTGGTTTATAGCTACTGTCCCAGCTCCTAAAACAGGGCTGGTGCTTAGGAAGTATGCAGGCGGATTCACCTGACAGCATTTACTCCCGGCTTCCTCACTTCTAGTAAAATATGATACTTGTCTGAAATGTTCTCTTCCCCTTTCCAGACCCGTGTCTTTGATCATGTAAATCATTGCTTCAGGCTGACATAAAAACCGTTCTCTTGTTAAGAAAGAGCTCAGCGTTGGGAGAGGCAGTCCTCCACCAGTCTCTTGCTCTCCTATAGGTCCTTCCTGGAGGGAGTGGGTTGAATGGTGGCCCCCCCAAAAAGATAGGTCCAAGTCCTAACTCCTAGAACCTGTGAAGCTGACCTTATTTGGAAAAAGGGTCTTTGCAAATGTAATGAAAATAACTGGGCCACGTGTGGTGGCTCACATCTATAATCCCAGCACTTTGGGAGGCCAAGGTGGGTGGATCATCTGAAGTCAGGAGTTTGAGACCAGCCTGGCCAACATGGCAAGACACCGTCTGTACTAAAAAATACAAAAATTAGCTGGGTACGGTGGCAGGTGCTTGTAATCCCAGCTACTCAGGAGGCTGAGGTAGGAGAACTGCTTGAACCTGGGAGGCGGAGGTTGCAGTGAGCTGAGATTGCACCACTGCACTCCAGCCTGGCCAACAGAGCAAGACTCCGTCTTAAAAAGAAAAAAAGACCACTTGGAGATGAGAGCACCCAGGATTTAGGACGGGCCCTAAACCCAATGACTGACATCTTTATTAGAGAAAGGAGAGGGAGACGCAGAGATGGAGAGAAGAAGGTCACTGGAGATGGAGGCAGACATGGAGATGAAGCGTCTACAAACCAAGGAATGCCAAAGGTTGCCAGCAAACCTCCAGGGGCCAGGAGCAAGGCGTGGCCAATTCTCCCTCACAGCCACTGGAGGGAACCACCCTGCTGACACCTCAGGTTCAGGCTGTGGGACCTCAGAACTGTAAGAGAATAAACGTCTGCTGTTTTGAACCACACGGTTTATAGTAACTTGCTATGGTAGCCACAGGAAGCTCACACACTGGGTATCCGAGAATGCAAGGCCTGGCCGCTCCTGAGCTGGGCCTCCCAGAGCTGAGTTTGCAACAGGACACTGTTGCAGCGGGTGACGTTTCCCTCTGGCTGCGCCCGGAGCTCAGGGCTCCTCTCCTGCAGTGCAGCCCACTGGGTAGGCAGCATCTATCTGGGCTCTCACCAACCCCATGGGGCGTGGGGGTCAGCGGGGCCGTTGCAGGCACCATGCTCCTGGTGCTTTGTTCCTGACCCAGCAGGAGCAGTGAAGGCTCAGCTGTCAGTTTCCAAGTAGGATCGGATCTGAAGACTCCGCCTTTTCGCAGGAGTTACTTTTCCTTCCCTTCTGCTTTCGACATCCCCGCCTTGCCCTCTCTCCTTTGCATGGCATTTGTTTGTCTCAGACCATGAAGTCCTGAGAGGAAACTAGGCCCTGTTTGTGTCCAGGTTTGTTTATGATCCCAGGGGCAGAGCGCTGCTTTACACAATTGATGAAAACTTTGTTTCTGTTTTCTAACTCTCGATTCAGTGCTCTTTTCATGTACTCCCAAGCTTACATGTCCCTGTTACCTTCATAAACAAAACACAGTATTAAAAGTTGCTGCTAGATGTTGGGAAGCTAATATCTGACCTCATGCAGCAGAAGGGAAGGGAGAGGAATTTCCACTTAACATAAGGGATTCCTTGAGTGTCTCTGATATTAACATAGTTGAGGGCTTTATAAAATACAAAGCACAGGCTCAAGAGCTCAGGGCTGCTGCTGAGAGTCTAATGGCTTCTCAGCCTCTGATAACCTCACCCTCCTGGCCCCCCTCCCGCCTCCTCTCTTGCCTCCCACCCTCAGCCAGTGCTCCACCAAAGTTCACTGCCTTCCTGGAGTGCTCCTCCCTACCTTCTTCCTCGGCCCAGTCTCCTTCATCCCAGGAGACCCAGCTCACATCTCACCTGCCCTGGGGTTGTGGGACTTTCTCTCTCTTCAGAACTTCTGCTCCCCAGAGCACTCGGTGCCCACCTCGTCACACCCCTGC